GCCAACTATCGAAAACACTCTTAATCCCCTCAGACGCCAGTGACGTCACAGTGAACGATTGCATATTCGGAATGTTTATTCCTGAATTACCTATATACAGCCGGCGCGTGTATTCACTAACGCCTGGCCGATTCCTTAATCCCCTAATTAAATAAAACATTTGACTACGGAATAATTTGTTTTGTAATTTATTTTAATTTAACTTTCAATTTAGAATTTGTTTTATAATGCCCGCCCTCTCTTCTCACGACAGCGATTTTAATACTGTGTTTTAAAGTGACTTTTTCATAGAGTCCCTCTACCATCGTGTTACAAATCTTGTAATTACAAGATAGTAACAAGAAAATTATCTTGTAATTACAAGATACGGGGAAGCCCGTTAGGGTTAATCACATGAAAAAAAGGGTTTTAACTAGTTTATTTCAAGGTCGCCCTACACTGGTTTATCGGATAGCTAGGCCAACGAAGTTCTTTTTATGTTACGGGATCGGCCCAGGCCATGCTCCCATTAATAACACTAGTTATTGCATGCCCTCATTAAAAATCATTCATTAAGTTTATACTCTCATTAACCTCATAGTCACACCAACTTCATACCCTCATTGATATCATTTATTCATGATACATTGATTTCATTCTCTCCTTAAAGATACTTTCCCCGCGTATAAACTGTGTAATTTGATGATATATTTGGGTTAAAACATATTCAAACTAATTATTCTATCACACATTTGCTTCAAATTCCTATCAAAACTTTGCATTCTTCGGAAGATACCGCAAGCTAGAAATGAACTGATGCTAGACGCCATGTCTGTCAGCTCATTTCATTGAGGGAGGGTCCATTTTTAGAATGTATTTTTAGCTACTTACTGTCCATTTATCGTACATATCTAGGCCTAAGTAAATTCTTAATTATTTTCTGTGAACTACTTTTTTCCGTTGACACACCTCAATGTTCCCATACAGCCTAACCATTTGATCAGGAAATAACAACCGCTCCCCCATTCAAGCTAGCACACAATATGCTGGGAGACAACTGTTGGGTTGCCAATTAGTGATACCCTGACATTTTTGCCCATTGCTTGCCTCATTGGTGTTATTCGTGTAATCCAATATTTTCCAGTAAGATTGGGTGTCTATACTTTCCATATATAGCAAATTTGCTATACTTTTATGGCCGATACATTCTTTCGGCATAATGTATCTTTAAAGCCTCGGAATATCGTTTACAATTTTCAGAAAATTTTGAAAATCCAAGCCTGAATGTGCACCAATTAATAATTAAAGAAATAAAATTTAAGATCGCAACGATAAATAATTTGCAGGCTTGGATTCAATCTAATTAAATAGGGGCGCAGGTTGAGCGAAACGTAAAGATGGCAACGGCTTGTTTAAAAGGGTGTAGACGAAACGGCGCTAATCCAAAACGACCAAAACTTATATGACTGTGTAAAAATGTGATAAAAAGTTACCTAAATATACGTCAGTAGGTTCTTATTAAAGTGGGTATGGCTCTATTCTTGGAACCTTGAAATATATAAAAATGGTTCTAATAGCACATGTTAATATAATATGAATATATGTAAAGTAAATTATATTGCATTTTTGAAAAACATATTGTAAATTCTGAGAAAGAGAGAGAGAAATGGGGTTAACGTCCAATCGACACAAACTATGTCATTTCGGGACTAACATATGCTTTAATTTTATTTCAGTGGGAGGAAACCGGAGGACCCGGAGAAAACCCACGAGATTGGACAGGCGACCCTACTCCTTGTCACGTACGACCGGAGAATCGAAACCCCGCCAGTTGACTCCGTGCGCACGTGCTAACCATTCGACCATCCAACCCCCTGTAATTTCTAATCAATTATGTTCAGTGAATTACGCAAACAGTACGCCTGCGTAGTGCATTCTACACGATAGGTTGTCTTGTAATTACAAGATAATCAGATTTTTTTTTTCATTTGATTGACCCGAATTAGCTTCCGTAATGACGAGTAGCCAGCTGTATCTCGTTTCCCCGTAACCATCGTACGGCACCCTTCTTTCTGTATGTGGATTTGCGTTCATTACTCTGAAATAGACCGCAAAAATGAAATTCGAAAAAAATATCTTAATATACGTTAGAATTAACAGTAAAATACATTTTGTTGGTAACCATCTAAATGGAATAACAGATTGACAATTATTTTTGTGTATTGATAATAATATGACAAGTGTCGTGTCGTTAATATCTGTCATTAATCAACCCGACTAAAGTTGTACAGACATGGGGTCATAAATTAATTTACACCGCGATGTGGGATTTAGAACGCTTATTAGGTAATTACCACTTTAATGCCGGCCCCACGAACGGACGAAAACAGTTAAGGGGGAACTTTTCTACAAACATTTCTCCACACCACAACATAATCGTTGAATCGTACACACGTCAATTGTATAGAATTATTAAGTTTTACTCATCAGTTGTTTATAATTATTGTTTATTCATTAACTAATTAGCTTTGTTCACCGATTTTTTGTAATAAAGTAGCCTCGAATTATTTGTTGACTCGCGTTTAGACAACATTTAATTGACTTGATATGAAATCTGAATATAAATTATTCGATGAATATCACGTTTGTGATAAGATTAAGTTATAATGTCTAACATTGTATAACGTCTTTAAATTAACAGTTTAATCACTCACCAAACAGCATCAGGACATCCACGTATGATTACGTGTATTTGATGCATGGAACCGTACATGGTAATAAGATTCCCTGCGTTGGTTGGCTGAGAAATGAGGGCGATCTATTGTTATGCATAGTCATCGGAAAATTCCATATTTGCTGTGCATTTCAAATGAAGTTACGATAAAAGTTGTTCTTTGTGTACAGAAATGGTTAGCTAACGAATATATCGAAAAGTGACTGGTACCATTTGTATTTCTGTAATTATAGAAAATAGTCTAGGATATCAAGTATTACAGGGTTATCCAAATTACCGATAAATGCGCTAATTGTTAGGGTGATCCGTAGAGGGAAATTTTCTCTACAGAAAGTTGGACTCGACACGGCCAATGTTCACGCTTCAGTGGCTTGTCTCGAAGTGATTTCTGTTTAACCACGCAGTATATGCGACTATAAATAGCCATCGCACGTGCAATTCTCTAGACATCTATCAACTATTACAGCTGTAAAAAATCTAATGTTGACGATTCTGAATAGCAGTAAAATTTAGCTTTTTGGTTATTACAGCAGCTTTAGAAATTACGTTCGTTTTATTTTTTAAATTGCTTTATCGTTAACTGTACCGTTAGGAGCGGCATCTTTTGGTTTAGTACAAATGCATCTTTTGGTTTAGTACAAATGCATCTTTTGGTTTAGTACAAATTATATCTCTGAAACACTTGCGTTAGGCAAGAACATGATACTAGCAGTAGTTTCATTTTACTTTTACAAGGTTCTTGTTGAGTTGCCTAACGTGCGTGTTTCTAAATTGAATTTCTTGTTCCAGCTTTCTGTTATGTTTCGTAAAAATTTAGTCTTGATTATCCCGGCCTGTCAATCAGACGTAGAATGGTCGGTAGACTTATTAAGCGAGACAAATTTCCAAACAAGGGCACGTAACCTATTTTTTACTCACAAGGGCCCGGATGTTATGGATGATTAAATGATCATAGCTTATTAAGTACAACATGACCGTTTATTTAGTGACTATAAATGTGAGAAACTGATTTAAGGCTTGGTATATATATATATATATATATATATATATATATATATATATATATATATATATATATATATTGTGGTGTAATTGTCGAAATATTTGGAGATATTTATTTCTGGTTGGTCACCCTATAATTGTTTGAATCGTCTTCATTTGCCACTTGGCCTATTTAAACAAAGGCAGCTTAAATGGATCTACGGCATGATACGACATTTTAAATTCACACTAAAATGTTCCAATCACAAATGTCTAATCTATAACAATGCACGACCATGATTAGGTCAGTCTTATGGTATGTGTAGATACGTTACGATAAGATTGTCCCTATAAGTCAACGATATGGTATGTGTAGATACGTTACGATAGGATTGTCCCCATTAAGTCCACGATATGGTATGTGTAGATACGTTACGATAATATTGTCCCTATAAGTCCACGATATGGTATGTGTAGATACGTTCGGATACCTTTCTATGCGATCAAACGTTACGACGGGCCGCTCTATATGACAAGACCTGATAGGATCACCACGATTAAAACCACAATTTCAATCCTATCACTAATCGTGATAGTAGGAACATTGGGTTTCTATCTGTCCATAAATATTAGGGGGGTCACGGTGACTAAGCGGGTAAGACGCTGCATTGGCAGAGAAACCCGGTCCAGATTTTCCGTTGTGGTTCACCCTTGTCAGTGTGTAGGACGGAGGACGCATGCAACTGTCTATTCGTTCGGATGGGACCCAAAATCAAAGTCCCTCGTAGCGCACTGCATGGCGTATGCCCGTCTTCATTAGCCCAGTTCTGGGCAGAACAATAGGACGTTAAACACCATGTTATTGATTCAATAAATATTACGCACAGCTTTTATTGATTTTTGTCAGATGCTTGAAAACGCCTGACTGGTCTGGTGAAGAGAGTAATTCACAAACTAGAAAACACCTGACTGGTCTGGTGAAAAGAGTAATTCACAAACTAGAAGAGAAACCAAAACACCTAAATGTCTAACGAGGCGAATAATCTGAGAAATAGAAGCGATACATAAAATTATATTCATCAACTGATTTGAGAAGTTACCATGGTGAAGAAACAATTATCTAATATACTGTATTTGATAATTTTGACGTACTGGATGTTGCGTTTATCAAACAGTTTAAACAGACAAGGGTATTTGATAAAATATAGTTTGATCAAATCAGATAAAACAGTTACCACACCATTTAAAACTTATAACGTGGAGGTGCGAAGTTTGTGTAGCCTTGAATGTGAATATGAATCGAGATGTGTGTCATTCTCCTTCAACAAAATCAGAAGAGAATGTCAACTTTTTGATATAAATCTAAATGAAACAGAGACATGGGTCGATGATGTTGGAAACGAAATTTTTACACTGCAAACAGGTACCGTTATTTTTAATGATTTTTCTTTCACAGTTTTAATTAAAGAAAGTGCTTTACACAGTGGTTATCAACATTCTATAGGAAAAATGAAATGAAATGGGGTTTATCGTCCTACTTTTCTGCTTCGACTGGGTTAATGAAGACGGACATACGCCTTCGCTTATATCGAATTCCAACTGCCAGGGGATCTTTACGTGCACGCTAATATATGCAAGGAACCTCGTTGGCCACTCCCATCCGAGCGACTAGACAGCTATCCTTGTCCTTGTCCGACCCTCATTCTATTGGTACATGATCAAAACAATAGGTGACGTCCATTACAAATGTCTGGTCTGTTCTTCTTTTAGCGTCCGACAATTTGTTTATAAAGCAAAGTATGCATCTTGTTTTCAGAGGGCGAAAACCTGGTCAGGGATAAACCCACTTATAGCAGTAGTGTAGTTACTGGTCGTTCGAGTGGGCAAGCTGTAGACGGGGACATCACACCACAATATAATGCTTCACAGTCTTTTTGTTTTCAAACCCCCAACACCGACTACAATCCGTGGTTTATTGTGGATCTAGAAGATGTTTATAGAATCATCTTTGTTGTTGTCTATAATGCTGATGATTATCGTAAGTATGTTTATATCGAGAGAGAGAGAGGGAGAGAGAGAGCCCTTACGCGAACTCGACACAAACTAGCAGGGGCGTACATACCCCCCTCCTCCCTCCCTCAACAACATGAAAAAAATATTGAAACTAGAGTCAACGAAATGCTATTTACTGGACTTTTGAGGACGATGGTCAGAAAACATTTATAAGATAATCAAATTTTAATTTTTAATTTCTACTGGGATTGAATATGCAACAAGTAAAATTTCAATGGGGCGCCTTAACATTTCATAATTTAAAGATTTGTTTACGTATTTCTGAAACCATAACCTTGTCTTTTACCAATCTAAAAGATAAAACTATGCTTCCGATAACTTCTTACCAACTGTTCGACAAATGTGATTCATATGGCAACCAGGAATATATTTTGAATTATTTAAATCTTCGTAACAAACTCTCTCAATTTTGTAGACCAACATTCACAATTACGGTGGCTGATAAGGGACATAAAATAAAATAATTTGTTTTTTTTAATTTTCACCCAAGTCAATTTTAATTTTCACCCAAGTCAATTTTAACATAATTTGTTTTTTGTAATTTTCACCCAAGTCAATTTTAATATAATTTGTTTTTTATAATTTTCACCCAAGTCAACTTTAATATAATTTGTTTTTTTACAATTTTCACCCAAGTCAATTTTAATTTCCACCCAAGTCAATTTTAATATAATTTGTTTTTTATAATTTTCACCCAACTCAATTTTAATATAATTTGTTTTTTATAATTTTCACCCAAGTCAATTTTAATATAATTTGATTTTTATAATTTTCACCCAAGAATTTTCACCCAGCGCATACTTTTTCTTTTTACCCTAAGCAACATCCCAATCGTTTGGGGCGCATGCCCAACCCCAGGGTCAGAGCCACGCCCATTTTCTTTTTGTGTGTCGCCCACAGGCCACAATTCTTAATCGATCGTCTTGAAACAATTTCATATGAATTCCTTATACCCTAAGGATAATCCTTATTGTTTTTGGTGCATGCCCGACCCCCCCCCCCCCAGTGGCAGAGCCACGCCCATTTCTTGTATTTATTTGTTTGTCATCTATAGACCGCACTTCTTAACGTATCACCTTGCTTGAAACTTTGCATACTTATTCCTTCTATCATATCCCTATTGTTTGTGGTGAATGCCCAACAACCAGGGAAAGCCACGCCCATTTTTATTTTTGTGTGTCTGTATGTCACTTACAGCCTGCAATGCTTAATCGATCGTCTTGAAAACTTTTTTATACTTATTCCTTATATCCTAAGGCTGACCTCTATTATTTTTGGTGCATGCCCGACCCCCTGGGACAGAGCCACCCCTTATGTTTGTGTGCCTTTTGTGTTGCCTACAGGCCACAATTCTTAACAGATCCTTTTGAAACTTTGCATACCTGTTCCTTCTACCCAAAGGATGCCCTCTGTTATTTTTTGGTGATTGCCCACCCCCAGGGGCAGCGCCACACCAATTGTTTTGAACACGATGGATTGTCTTTGAACTTGGGATATGTATTCCTTAGAGCCTAAGGACGACAATTACATGTCCCGACCCCCAGGGGCAGGGCCATGCCCAATTTTTGTGTTTATCGTTTACATACCGGAATTCTGAATGGATCAACTTGGTACTGGGCATATACGTATTCCTTATAGCCTAAGGGAGTCATCTATTGATTTTGGTGAAAGCCCCAACCCCCAGGAGCAGAGCCACGCCCAATTTTTGGCTTTAGCGCCCAAAGGCCATAATTCTGAATGGATTATCCTGGAAGTTGGTATACTTATTCCTTATACCCTAAGGATGGCACCTATTGATGTTGTCATTTCAATAACAGGATGGTACTTATTTATATTGTTTCCACATCCAATCTCCATGGGCAGAGCCACACCCATTTTTTGTATTTAACGTCTACAGGCTGGAATTCTGAATGGATCATCTTGGAACTTTGTATATGTATTCACACTCACCTTTTTGTTAGTATTTTGTCTGTAAATTTGGCAAAACAAACCCAACGCCTAGTCTTCTTTGCCTCTTGTCATATTACAGCCATTTCATATTTCATTCTCTTCATTTTAAAAAGTACCATATCAATCAAAGCTGGAATGTGGACGTATATTGCAGCGTTAGCAATTCTCTCTCTGTCTCTTTTCTTCCCTTTTGCATGCCTATTTTGGTTGATTTGTTGGTCTAGAATTAACATTAAAGTCAATGGGGAAATCATTAGCGATCTGTGGCCTAATACAAACACCGGAAACAATCGCAAAATTGCCTCCCTTGTTTTATATCGCCCCCCCCCCCCCACGTGAGTTCACTACATCATTTATTAACATATGCTTGATCTCGTTATCGTATTAGTTGTAGAGTATAATCTAGATAAAGAGAAATGGGGTTTAACGTTACAAACTAGGTCTAACATATGGTTCAATTCTATTTCAATAATTCGCTTGTGCGTAGGGGTCTTTAGCAGTGGGAGGAAACCGGAGGACCCGGAAAAACCCCACGAGGTTGGACAGGCAATCCTACTCCTTGTCACGTTCAACCACCCTAGCTGACTCAATGACTCAATCTACTTGCTAACCATTCGTCCACCCAACTTCCCGAGGATAATCGAGAAATAAATTCAGATTGTTAGATTCGATATATTATTAAAGGATTATTAAAAGCTTTGAATGTTGTTGTTGTTGTTGTCATGTCATTGAATGTTGTTGTTGTATATGTCATTGAATGTTGTTGTTGTTGTACATGCCATTACATGTTGTTGTAGTACATGTCAATTTCTAAAGAATTGCTAAAGAAAGAATTGAACGAAACCATTAACATGTGAGTTACAATGAAGATAAACACTTTCTGTGTTGTGTTCAGATTCTGTTGTCATTACGTCATAAACATATTGCTCAATTACAGAACATTTTGGTAACATTCGTAATTGGTCCTAATATGGTTGCGTTCAGAATGTTTGTTTAAGCACGTTCTCCAAACGTTCAAAAAAGGTTGAGAGATAGACTTTCCTTTTTATAAAGGTACCAGAAACATCGCCAGAATTTTGTCTTTTGACGTTTTAATTTTAATTTCATTCAACAATGACCCAACGTTAATTTGAATGTTTTATAATGTTTCGTCGGCAAACGTTGCATTAAAACATTAGATACATGTTTCAACCCCGTTTTTTTATGACGTTATATCGTTGATACAAAAAGCATACAAATAACGGTAAAAACAAATTTTGAAAAGTAATCCTGAATTTTTAAGGGAAATTTTCACTGAATTCTTTGGATTTATAACTCAAAAGGAAGTATATTATGTAAAAGACCATGTTAACAGTAAGGACATAACGGAAAAGACAAAAATTCCAAGTCATTAATTTGACTCCAGTTGTCTAAATAAATGTCTGAATACTACTAGAAAGAATAAAAAAAGCGATAACGGATTATAATTTTAACAAAATACCTTTTGTTTTGTCTATCTCAATGCAAAAAAGTTTTTTCCGTTACCATTATTTATAACAGAAAAGACACGTTTTGACTGTCTGAACACATTCACATTGGATAAACATGCATGATATTAACAGAGTGCTTTGACAACCTTAATCCCTGGTTTTCTGAGTGAAAACCTCTCCCTTTTTCTTTCTATCTTCTTTGATTGGTTTTTAGTAATTGAGCATATTTACACAAGGTACAATTTTACGGATACACAATTATTGAGTTTAATACTAAGCGACGTTTCGACGAGGGTAGTCTCGTCTTTATCAAGCAAATGCTACAGGTATGTGAATAGTAGGCAAATATATACAGAATATGCAACAAAGATAAGAATTGAATACAATCAAAGATTAACACCTTTGGTTAGGGGGCCATTTACAACTAAACCTACACAACGGAAACTCTTATACGGGGTGGCTCTGAAGGGGGGGGGGGGAGCCCCAACCCAAAAATCGAATTAGCCCCCCCCCCCGCCAATATTTTGCCAACAATGATTTTTTAGTAATGCTCAAATTGGTAGGCGACCCGTAGGCTCGTACTATGGCCCATCATCACCTCCTGATCCTCTTGTCTTGATACCATACGTGCATTGTACATAACTACTGTTCAAAATTAGCTCGAGCACTTGATGGTACCAGAGGCTACATAATTTATCGCCATTTTCCTTGTACCTACCCTTTTATTCCCGGGTTACGGGTTTAAAAGAGGCTCTGGTTTATTTGGAAGCCTACAAGGCGCCGGTTCAAACGTTTGCACTTGCCTACCCCCGATGTAGGGTGCCTACGGGCGCTTAAAATGTAGGTGTCTAACATAAGGTCAGGGGCGGATTTGGCCATCGGGCGATCGAAGGCCAGTCAGACAAAAAATGAAAAAAATAATTTTGTCCAATTCGTCTAAAAAACCTGCTGAACATTATATGGAGGTGTGTGTGTGTGTGTGGGAGGGGGGGGGGGTATTGAACCGGCTATGGGGCGATGATGATCATGTTGTATGTGGCCGGTGGCTTGAACGGGCCGCCACGCCATCACTGGAGTCTGGAATGGGCTGATATAATATACTTTCTGGGCCGTGTGTGCTGCGTGTGGGCCGGAATTCGAAATCCTGCAATGGGGATTCCGAATTTCATCCGAAAATATCATCGGATTCACCCGACACTGTCGCCCGCAAATTTACTAATTATTAAGTCACCTGCACCCTGTTTGTCGGGATACGCCAGAAACGTCTGCCGATGGTACAATTTTAATGCCTCAGCAAAATATGATGATAGCTGGTCTGCTGGATGAATATGAGTGCGAGCCGATTTCCTGAGGCTGGTTTTAAACATTCCTTGACAGTTTTATTAACTCGTTATTTTCAGAGATGAAATTACAGAATTGGGATGTCTTGAATGGTCTCGAATTGCGGGAAATGGCCTCCCATTTCCAAAAATTCGAAAATGCATGCCCGCTCCCACTCCGTCAAGACCTAGCGAAAGAACGTTATCTCAGTTAATTAATATATATG